CCGCTCAGGGGTGGGGGCCGGGGGGGAGGACAGTAGGTCCCCCCCCTTATTGTTTTATTAGGGCCCCCACCCACCGCTCAGGGGGGGGGGCCAGGGGGGAGGACAGTAAGTCCCCCCCTTATTGTTTTATTAGGGCCCCCACCCACCGCGCAGGGGTGGGGGCCGGGGGGGAGGACAGTAGGTCCCCCTCCTTATTGTTTTATTAGGGCCCCCACCCACCACGCAGGGGTGGGGGCCAGGGGAGGGACAGAAGTTCCCCCCCATATCTTTATTTAGGGCCCCCACCCACCGCTCAGGGGTGGGGGCCAGGGGGGAACAGTAGGTCCCCCCATCTTTATTTAGGGCCCCCACGGGCATGGGGGGGTTATTAGTTTTTTTTTGTTTTTTTGTTTTTTTTTACAGTGAGCAGCTATAAGCTGCTCACTGCTTACTACACATGCCCCTACTCGCGATATAGCGAGTAGGGGCATTTCATTTACTAATACTAAGTAATCTTTACTTGGTATTAGTAAATGTGGCTGATAGACCAATTTAGGTCTTTCAGCCTTTTAGTAGATAGCTCCCTGATACCGTGGGAATTAGGGAGTTATCTACTAAGCGGCTGCAAGATGCAGCCGCGGCAATGAATAGGATCGGAGTTTCATTCATTAGAATGAAATTCCGATCCGAATAAAGTGCCGAATTGCGTTCTAAAACAATGAACATACTGTTCTCATTCAGTTAGAACGCAATTCGGCAGTTTAGTGTAAAGTGACAGGAAGCATCACGGGAACACAGAGGGAAGGTAAGGATCATGGGAAAATTGCTCTGACCAGCGGAAATGAAGCACACTTTGCTCCTCCGCTGGTCAGAGCTGGTCAAGCGGAGGAATCCTCCATAAGGCAAAGAGTCCCTACTTTGTCTTATGATTTTAAAGAAAACTAAAGAAGACAGAAAGGAAAGAATAACAGATCCTGAGAGAGGGGGAGAAGAGGAAGAGATTGAGGAAAGGTAAGTTCGGCATGACAGTGCCGCTTTAAGTTCCCACTGTAACTTCTGGAGTGCCCAGCAGTGGACTCTGCATTCCTGGGGCTGCTATGTTACCTCTGAGCTACTGTTTAGCTTCAGAATGCCAGTATCTAGCCCTGTCTTGTATCCAGCACTGAGCTACTGTTTAGCTTCAGCATGCCAGTATCTATCCCTGTCTTGTATTCAGCACTGGGGGCTGAACATGTATTGGAATTACTTCTGTTACTCCTGATACACCTGATATTGATGGTCTCATTAGCCAGGTATATAACCTTGCCTCTCCCAGAAGGCAGGGTCAGTTCCTTGACTCTGGTTCCGTATTGCTGTTTGTGTTCCAGTGTGCTCCTGTTGATTCCTGACCTTAACTTGTTACTCCGTATATCCTGATTTCTGGCATCCTCTGACCTCTTGCTTACCCACGAGGATTGTCCAGCTTTATCCATTCCTGTACTGCGACTTGGAGAATTATCCTGCACAGCCCCCGTGCACCGACTCACAGGCCAGGTGAATTCTTACCTGACCACCTCGGCCTGTGTTTACTTGCAAGGGTGAGCATATATCTCTGCCTGCCAGACTCCCAACTCAGGTAAGCCCTGACACAAGGAACTGACCATATGGAGTCCGCAGAGATGTGCTCACCCCTGTCCCAGCAAGTGTCCAGCCTGGCCCAGATTGTTTCGGAGCTGCAGCAAGAAATTTTATTTCTTAAAGGCACAGTACGCCCAGCCCCTGAACCTGCTTATCCAGAACCCTATGTCATACTGCCTGACAGGTTCGACGGTTCCCGTTCCACTTTCTCAATCTTCAAGATGGACTGTGAACTCCTGTTTGCCTTGAAACCCAGAACCTACGTCACCGACTTTATCAAGGTCCGTTCTGCTATCAATGTACTTTCTGGACGGATGCTGGGCATACCAGAAGCTGCAAGAGAATAGTACTGTCTCGGACACTTGGGAGTCGTTTATGTTCGCAATGGACTCACAGTGCTTGGCTTCTAAGAAGGAAACTCCCAAACTGGCTCAAAGTACCCGCATAGCTCGGTTACCTAAAGAAGACTATGTACCATCTTATCAAGTTCCCGTCTCGTTCCAGCGTGAACCCACTTCCAGGAACCTGTCCTGTTACCCTGAGTGTACTCCAGCTAGCAATAGCACCTCGTTGGACAGGAAGGAACCTATGGAGATCGGAATTACCAGGACTAGGTTGCCTCTAAAGGAAAAAGACCGTAGGAGAGGCCATGGCTTGTGCCTATACTGTGGCGAAAGAGCACATTTCATCTCTCTCTGCCCAATTCGTCCACCCAGGCAAAGACCTCTTCTATTGGGTGCCCTACAGACTTATCCAGTCATCTCAGAAACACCGTCAAGAAGCTGCCAAGGTTGCTGCCAGCCATGTCCCCGTTCTGTGACACAGAAGAGTGCTCAGACTATGGTAAATAACATACCCAGTACTCCTGAGAAGTCTGAACCTCCGCCAGAAGACACTCATGTTAAATCTGGTACCATCACCACTTCCTGTCAACCTAAAGAGGAGTTACCTACGGACTGTACCTATGCCTCCAATGGTACCATGGTTAACAAAACAGATTTGGTGATGTTTGAAAAAGATTTGAAAGCCACAAACTCTGCTCCTGGTAATGTACCTAAGGAAAAAGGTTCAGAGAATAAGACTCCTGCTCCTGGTAATGTACCTAAGGAAAAAGGTTCAGAGAATAAGACTCCTGGGATCAAGGTACTTGCCGCTTGCACCAAATCCATTGCCAACCCTAACCTCTCTCCAGTAGTACCTGAAAATGCAAATTGTTCTGTGAAGAAAGATTCTCCTCCTGGCTACACTTGTGCATCTGATGGGACTCTAGTGGTTTCAGAACACTTGCATGACTTTGAAAGAGCACTGCTAGCCATCAAAACCGCTCAAGCTATGTCCTCTGCTCCTGCTGGCAACACCAGAACCAAGAAATCTAAAAAGTCACCTTGTGGGCCATAGTTGTTTTTTTTTTGCCCTTAGGCGGCTTTGAGGAGGGGGTACTGTCACAGTTCCCCCCATAACCTCCAGAGTGACAGGCGAGGTCACCCCAGCGGATTCGAATCTGGGTACTCTGCATTCCTGGGGTTGCTATGTTACCTCTGAGCTACTGTTTAGCTTCAGTATGCCAGTATCTAGCCCTGTCTTGTATCCAGCACTGGGGGCTGAACATGTTTTTGAATTACTCCTGTTACTCCTGATACACCTGGTATTGATGGTCTCATTAGCCAGGTATATAACCCTGCCTCTCCCAGAAGGCAGGGTCAGTTCCTTGACTCTAGTTCCGTATTGCTGTTTGTGTTCCAGTGTGCTCCTGTTATTCCTGACCTTGGCTTGTTACTCCATATATCCTGATTTCTGGCACCCTCTGACCTCTGGCTTACCCATGACAATTCTCCTGCTTTATCCGTTCCTGTACTGCGACTTGGAGAATTATCCTGCACAGCCCCCATGCACCGACTCACAGGCCAGGTGAATTCTTACCTGACCACCTCGGCCTGTGTTTACTTGCAAGGGTGAGCATATATCTCTGCCTGCCGGACTCCCAACTCAGGTAAGCCCTGACAATAACGAAGAAGCAAAGGGAGTTCCAAAGGAATGATGCAGCCCTACAGAAGTCCTGGAGTTGAGAATAAGATGTGGGAGTACGAACAGAGGATAGACGTAGGTTTTCAGTAGATCGTAGGGGTCTAGATGGGACTAATTGTGTATTAGTGAGAATAGGTAGGATCAGCAGCATTATGTAGAGATTTGTAAACAAGAACCATAATTTTAAATTGAGCCTTATATCCTACAAGAAGCCAATGCAGGGACTGACAGAGGGGGAGGT